GATTTATGATCAAGCCCATGATCGACCTACCCACACCATTGTCATTTCAAGACCTGTATGGTTATATTCGGAAACATCACCCCGAGTGTTCCCATGTATCATATTTTATCCTTGTTGTTCACCGAATATTAAACAAGGATAAATGATGCATGTAGCACTCAGGTGATGTTTCTGAACGCAGCCTATGTAAGACCGTGGTTCGTTGTTTCCGAGAGCGTTATCCCTAGCCTGGACCTGGACGAAAGCAGTTTATGAATCCATTAAGACCGAAAAATGAATCCTTATTAGAATACTATCTAAAAATTATTTGTGATTCATTGCGAATTCCTATGGAGTATAATAAGAGTCCTTTTGGTATGCGAAAAAGGGCTCCAAATTGGTGACATAAAAGTGAGTTCTTTTGGAACTCTTAAGAATACATTTAGAATAGAAATGGGACAGATAAAGAATTCATTTCATAATTTGGGAATTCAAAAAGAATTCTTTTTGGATTCTTTGTGCTATCTGGGATTGCCAAAAAATATCACATTTAATTTAAAGAATGACATATCTTCTTTGATCATCTAATGAAATACTACAGAATCTATTTTATATGATATCACACGTACACACGAGTGGCACGGCGAGCCGGCAATCTTACGCCGTCCGGATTTTCGGTCCACTCGGCCTCCGTTATCGAGGAGAGACAATACGTTTCTCACTTGAACTTTTCGGAGGACGATAAGTAAAATCACTCACGCTGCTTTGCAATAATAATGACGAGCGGTATATTTCACCCGTTACCGTATCAATTACAAAATAAGGTCGTTCTCTTATTTTTTGCCTACACCTCTATTGCCACCAGTACCGGCCTTAGGGCGGGGCGCGGTTGGGCGGTCGCCCAGGGCGCCAAATCTGTAGGGGCGCCGCTGCCTGGTTTCACCTAGTTTGAGAGTGAGAGAGATTCCCTAAGATATAAAAACAAAATGGGGTTCGTCGTTCGATATTATTACCCTGTCCTTTCTTTCGCAAGAATCTCGAGCCCTTGAATTTGAATGGGCGCCACGATAATCTTGCTCAGGGCGCCAATGTTGCTAAAACCGGCACTGATTGCCACGACATCGTTTTATCATCGTATATGTATACGAAGGTACGCTTCATACAGTCGGATTTACGGGATCCTGGGGTACGGAGAAAAGAGGCGAGCGCGGGTGAACGTTACGCTATTAAATTATGAGCAAGAATTTTAATGCAGAGGAGCGTGCGACTGTAGTGCCAACGTGCAAACATACCTGAGGCATATTGTTGCGAGATGAACGTCATCCTGATCCCGTTCTTCCTAGGTGAGCCATCGACAAGTAAACCGCCTGAATCCACCCAGAGAACATGCACGTCTAAAAGACATGATTAAGAGAACTATTAGACGTCTTATGTCTAAAAGACGTCTAACAGACGTCTTAAAGATGTCTTTTAAACATGTTCGCTGGGCACATTTAACGTCGCACTCAGCTGCACGAACGTAAAATCGCGTAGACACATTTCCCGAAACTTTTATTGATAATGAGAGGAATTGGAAAAGTTCAATGAAATTCTGAGGGGTGAAATCAGAGAGGAAAAGTATCTCGTACATAGTAAAGATTTAGCAAATCCCATTTACAAAAATGCTATCTTTCTAGCGACATTAATACTAAATTTGATAAAATTTTCCCTTCACATCCACTTAGCGGCCGACATAGCCGTCACTAATCTGTCACATTGGGAGTATGGGGCTGAATACTTCTACAACCTGAACATTTCGTATATTGCGAACCTGGATCACGAGGAACGTAAGCAAAGTTATCAATTACTCACCACGCTAAGCTGTCGCCCCAAACGGCCGGACCATCTATTCTGCCAATTCCAAAACGTAACGCAATTGAGTCGCAACTTTGCCAAGAATGGCGTCTCGACGCTGGGCGGGCGAGCAAAACATATGTTTGAGATCAAATTTAACGAGCGCGGTGTGGAAAGCCTGATTGTCGATCAGACTATCACGAGAATAGTGATGGACGTTGTCCGTAAAATCGCCAATCAGTTTATCATGCTCGTTTATCCGAGTAATATTGGCAAGTGGGAGTTTACGGTCAGCGAGAACACGACAATGGGCGATTGCACGACCAAATACAATATCACGCGTGAAAAACCCGAGACGGACAAGCTCGAGAGAGGAAATACCAAATTTCAGCTCGTGAATTTGCTGATGGCCGACATCGAACCTGGAACGGCTCTTTTCATCGATAAATCTCGGAAAAATTGTACCAAGTCACCGCGAGATCCCACAGACAACGATATAATATTAGAGACGGTACGTATGTATATATGTATACGCGCGTGTGCCTGTGTGCATGTATAAATATATGTACGGGTGTGTAAATCGTGCACTATAATTTTTGCAGGAGAAATTTGCCAGCAGATACAAAATCTATCCAAACAAATTCAGAAGCTTCACCAGATTCAAGGGAACAGTCAGAGATAACGAAAAAGGTAAAGAGACGTCAGTTAAAGAAGTAGTACATCTTGATTTACGCAGCATTAAACCTGCGCAAAGTAAACTTCCGACCATTTCCAACGGTACACTGATCGATTTACAAGCAACATTAATATATGAAGAAACTTAATAAATTAAAGCTGCTATATATGTATACTCTTCTAACATTTGTGTATGCACGTTACGTTACGTTGTAGAATACTGTAATATTAAATATCCAATCAAATTGAAACTACACATGATCGTAACTAAATAAAGTAGATCTCAAAATAGTTTCTTTCCGTTCGCATGTCATGTTTTTCTGTCCTATCTATCTGCACTATCTTTCCTTCTCCTCGCCTTCCTTTAACCCTTTTCTGCTTACAAATTTCTCTAAAAAACGTTTGCGACTATACAACATGTTTGGATGTAGATAATTATCAGTTCTTCCCCTATCAAATATGACTGTTCTTACGATAACTGGCTACAATTATTTACAATTGCAAGATAATATCGTCGAAAAATATCACGTATATAGCTTTGATAAAATACTATATATACTATTTTATACACTGAAAAGACAAATTTCGCCACCATAGCTAATCATGGTTTGCCTGAAATATTTTGCTGCCATAACTATAAATTTCTAAACCACAGCAAACGGTTCGCTATCGCATCTAATACAATAGGCACAGTAGCAAAATATTTAGCTATCACAATTAGATATTAGCTGTCCATATTTTGCAACTGAAATTTAGTTGCCACAAGCAGTTTTTAGCTAAGGCAACTACATTTTTCTTTCCGTGTACGATATCACACATACATTATAGCGGCTGGTCACTGTTAGCGAGGAGAGCTGTACTTTAACGTTTCGAAGGACAACTCCAAAAAGTAAAATCACTCTCGCTGCCTTACCATAATAATGACGAGCGCAGTTTCGCCCGCCACCGCGTATAATCCAAAATAAGACGACCGTCTTCTAAGGAGGGGTGTCAATAAGGCCGTTTTTTGGCCCACGTCAGAATCGTTCCAAACTGTGGTATTTTCTTCCTACCGATGCAGCTCACAACCTCCTAGAACCGTCCGAGCAATTAGAGGCTGAGAACGGGCAACTTGAAATCTAAAAACATCAATAAGGTTTTTCACATGATAGCGGCGGTTTCGTATCAGCATGTTACTGTTGAGCTTCCATTACCGTAGTCTCGTGGATAATACCGTTAAAACAACCTGCCTTGCTTACGGCTAGCTCGGAGAGTCAGACGAAAGGGAGGTCCGAGACACTAAGTCGGTGAGATTCGAGTAAATAAAATAATACTTTATTATAGCACTTAATAATCTACAAAAGAAAATACGCATATAAAGCGATATCGGCAACACGTACGGCTATATACGGGAATTGCCGTAAACGGACGTCTACAAGCGGTTAACGGCACGCGGTAGCTATAACGAAAACGGAAACGGTACGCGGGATAACAATACCTGATTTAGGCTTATAGTAGGATCGTCTGATTTATCGCAAGAGATGCTATTGCATGATTGTTTATTAACATGGAAGCTCAACAGTGACATGCTGATACGAAACCGCCACTACCACCGCGTGAAGAACCTTATTTTTTTAACTAGTAAGAGTAATCTTAACAGTCGCCAGCAGTAATTAACAAATTCAGTGATTTTTAATAACCGTATCTGGCAATTAAAATTCTTATCGCGAAAAATATTACCCCAGCCAGGATTTGAACCAGGGACCTCCCTCAATCCGCGACGGGCGTCTTAGCCAGCTCGACCACTGGGGCTGTGATAATACTATTCGCAATAACATGTATACAGGGTGAGTCTTTCCATATTCGACAAAATTTTTGAGAAGGTAGAACGGATCGAGATGAACGGAAAAGTCCTGTACCATTTTGCAATTTTCATAATAGTTAACGAGTAATTAATTATTAAAAATCGTTGTCTTAGGCCGGCCTACCGCCCAATTCGAGCGCGTGGCAAGATGTGACCGCCCGGCGATCGATATTGCTATGCGCACATCTCGCCACGCGCTCGAATTGGGCGGTAGGC